GAGAGAGAGGCGCTTAACACGTGACTGGATCACGCGATCTGAGGCAAAAGTTGCGCCAAAAGCTGCAAATTAGCGCGATTGGGAGCGCGAGAGCTGTGCACGGAGCAGCTGCTGATCAATTACTCACTCCTGACACCCTTCTTCCAGCACATATGGTGTGCAGTAGTGCTGAGCATTCAGCACCTAAACGCACGCAAGCAAGCAATCATCACGCATTCACCACAAAGCACCTCCGATGACCTGCATTTGCAGCATGTATTTACAGTATAACAAAGTGGCGGCAAAGGCAGGCAGGCAGGCCCCAGGTAGAGATCGAGAATCGTGTATGCAGGCAATCACGACCAGGTGGCCCAGTGGCCAGCTCAACGCGCGCATACATGGTACGCCTCCACCCAATCTTGGTGGAGATTCATCTCAATGACCCTCGTGACTCTTGAGATCCCTGTCGCGATTGAGAAGAAGCGCTGCAAGTAGGAACAGCACCCTGAGTCACGTCTTGTGTGAGATGAACGAAATGCAGTCGTGAAAGACTTTCTGATCCACGAGCATCATCAAGGAGCTTCCAGTCTCTCTTGCTTCTTAGTCCTCATCACCGCTCCTACTGCCTGCGATTCCCGCGCTTTACTTGTTTCCGACTTCGTACCCCACTGCACTCAAGATGTCCGACCAAAAGAGATGGCTGATGTGAGTTGTAATAGACCGAGCTTTAGCATACAAGACTCGCCGAAGCCGACACTGACAAGTGGACCTGAACTCTGCATTCAGGTTCGCATTCGCCATGGGCTGCTCGGGTCACCAATCTCCAGGATCTTTTGCTCATCCAGCCGACAAGTCCATCTTCCACAACAAACTCTCTTACTGGACCGACTTGGCCAAACTGCTGGAAGGAGGCAAGTTCGACGGTTTGTTTTTGGCTGATGTATGGGGAGGATACGACGTGTACACCAAATCCCTCGCTCCTTCTCTCGCTACCGGCTCCCAGATCCCGTGAGCATTGACAGGGCTTCAACAAGCACTGTTATCAGACGCGTCGCATTTACTCACTCTCTGCGCTCTCGCTCTCATCGTCTTTGCCATCGCAGTTTGATCGACCCGCTCTTCACTGTGCCCGCCATGGCCACAGCCACCAAGCACCTCACGTTCGGTCTGACGGCCACAACATCGTACGAGCATCCCTACTCTCTCGCTCGTCGCTTCAGCACTCTGGATCACCTCACCAACGGAAGAGTCGGCTGGAACGTGGTCACAGGCTATCTGGACTCTGCTGCTCGTCAATTCGGCGCTAGGAACCAGGAACTGCACGCTAAGCGATATGAAGTCGCTCACGAGTACATGGATGTGAGTCGGGCATAACCCCGCTAGATGCACGCTTTTTGCGTTTCACTCACTGGCGCAAACTTGATCGCAGGTCGTGTACAAGCTTTGGGAATCTTCCTGGGCCGACGATGCCGTCAAACATGACATCAGCAAACCCCTCTACGCGGACCCAGAAAGAGTCCGCGACATCAAGCACAAGGGCCAGGTAAGTGCTCAAATGCTCGGCAGAGAGGCAGCTCACCTTGTGCTTTCTCGTACTGAAAATCCTCTATCTTGTCGTCAATTTGCTTGCTCGTTCAGTACTACGAGGTACCTGGCCCTCATATTTGCGAGCCAAGCTTGCAGCGCACTCCCGTCATTTTCCAAGCTGTCAGTAGAGACCGGGCAAGCATTGGTTCCGTGCGCGAGCCACTGAGCTCGCATCATCTCCCATACGTCACTTTGTCATCGTTCAGGGTTCTTCCGGCCCTGGTCTTGCCTTTGCAGGAAAGCACGCTGAAGTGATCTTCATAGCCGCTCACGCACCCCAAGTGGCCAAATCTCGAGTTGATGGAGCTCGCAAGGCCGCTGCGGAGGCGGGTCGTGACCCCAAGAAGCTTCGCGTGCTTGCCCTCTTGCTGCCCATCGTGAGTTTACAATGCCTTGCCAATTTACGTGCTACCGCTGAATATGCAGCTTACGCTCCTGCGCTTCGCGCTCTTGCAGGTCGGCAAGACGGACGAGGAAGCCGAGGCAAAGCACCGAGACTTTTTGAACAATGCATCTGAAGAGGGCGCTTTGGCCTTGTTTGGAGGGTGGACGGGCATAGATCTTTCGAGCTACGCCCCTGACGAAGAGCTGCGCGATCTGCCCGAGGGCAATGCGATCAAGTCTGCAGTGGAGGGATTTGCTAGAGCGGACCCCACGGTTGGCAAATGGACCAAGAGCGAAGTTGCTAATCAGCTCAAGATTGGAGGATTGGGACCATTCATTGTGGGAAGCGCTAGCACTGTTGCGAACAAGCTCGAGGAGTGGGTCAACGAAGCTGGCGTGGACGGATTCAAGTGAGTTCATCTTCAAGCCAAGACTTGCGATAAATAGCTCCATCATGCTAATTCTCTCCGGACCTTTCCCTTTGCGTTTGCTTCGACCAGCTTGGCCTAGTGAGTGCTTTAAAGCAAATGCGAGACAAACGCATTGACTGACGTCCATCGCCCATCCCTCCACTTTTCACAGCGCCATCTCGCCAGGCACCTTCGTCGACACTGTTCAGCTGCTAGTGCCCGAGCTGCAGAAGCGAGGTCACATGTGGTCAGACTATCCCGAAGCGGGCGCAGCACCCTCGGATTGGCCCAGCAACAAGAAGACGAATTCGACGGCTGTCAATCAGGCGCCCAAGGGCTTTGGAGAGGATGAGCAGCCGGGCTTGACGGCTAGGGAGAAGCTGTACGGAGCGGGAAATCGTCGTCTGCCAGACGATCACTATGGTCATCGCTTCAGGTGAGCCTAATGGCGCCCCTTGCCCCCCTCCCTCCTTCTTGCGCTGCATGCACTCACAGGTGCGAACGACTCACACGCACTCTTTCCTCTTTGCTCACCGCAGATGGGAGGCCGGAAAGCCTGCTCCAGCACTGGACTAAGCGTGCGCACAGTGAAGATTGAAGCTTGTCACGTGACAACGCTTTCAGTCCGTCGTGTGCAC